TATTAAATTATTAAATTAATTAAAATAATAGTTATAAAATTATAGTAACTTAAACTTAGTATATGTTATCTATTAATCTAATGATTAAATATCAATGAAAATTATTTCATTAGATTCGATTAAATAAGACGAATCTAATGGTTTTTATTTCATAAAATTGGAGTTGTATTGGCAAAGATACATCAATTTGAAAATTGTACAGCAATCGTTATAAAAATTAGGGGACATATCACATGACCAATAAGAATTACGAGATTCATAAACAATTTATAACGTTTAATCCCAATGTCAAATTACAGGTACATGGCAGCGCAAAGAATTACACACATGATTCAATTTATCTTAAAAACTTTCGTTGAATGAGCTTTTTAGGATTAAAGATTGTTATATTGAATGTATATTCTGTATCGTTATTTAGGATTGAGAGAACGATATAGCAATCGTTCAAAAGAATAAAGATAAAATCGTTTTGATACAAAAAAGCACACTCTAGCAAAATCAAAAGAATCAAATGATGATAATTTTTTATTTATAGTTTGCGTATTTATTTTGAAACGTAAATTAAAAGAGTTCGATTCAAAATTTAAACTTTCGAATGTAAACTTATTGTAATCTCGATACATTGACGTATTCTATTAATATTAAAAATTCTGCCACTATATAAGCTTAATTAACTTTTAAAATTCTATAAAAGAAACAAAACTCGGGTAAAATCTAAAAAAACCTTCAAATTGAATCTTTGAACCTTTAAAGACAACATAAATGAAAATCTTGAAATTTTTCGTAGTGATTTCAATCACTTTAGTCTTATAAAATCTGTTTATCCGGTATAAATAATAATTGACCATGCATGTTAATAAATTCTTGCATAAAACAACCAAAATAATATCATCAGTTCTTTTTCATAGCATAGATCCTATAAGCATCTACAATGGTTTTATCTTCGTCAAATTCCTTTAATGTCTTTTTCCATTCTTGATTCAACTCATTAATATCATCAAAATCCATCAAATCAATTAACATTTCACCAAGTACATCCGTAAAAAACGTTGAACAAAGTTGTTCAAATAATATTCCTGTTTTGTCGCTATGTTTACCCAATTTCACCTTTCTATTTTCAGACTTTGAGATTTCGATCCGAGTATCTGTGGAAAGGACTGATTTTATGTACTTTTGTGGCAAGAATTCTATATGATTAGTTACAAATAATTTCACTACTTTTTGAAGGAAAAAAAAAATAAATAAATGAAAATTAGATTCCTAAATATTTTTTGATGTCAAATATAATATAATATTACTAATTATTTATTAATTAATATCTTACATCCTTTGATGAATTTCAAAAAATTAGATCCAATATTCTTTTCTTCATAATCATACCCTTGTACCTATAATAATAATAAAAAATAGATTAATATTTGTCTTTAAAAACTAAAATAAAATAAAATAAACCTTAAGAAAGGTTTATTCATAACTACTTACTTCTACCCATCCACCAGGTTTAGTTACTCTTGAATAAATGATTAAAAAATGAAATTTTAATAAAGCATGTTTACTTTTTAAAAAAAAGTAACAATTTAATTTACCTTAACAATTCATCAATGATAAAATCCCATTGATTTGCATCATAAAGAGGTTCGATGATAGATAAATGAACGAAATCAAAATAATTATCTTGAAAAAGCAAACCTTTCTCTACACTAACATCAAAGAAATTTACATTGTTAGGCTTAATTGTTGTAGGAAATAATTGATTTTTATCAACGCCAACAAATTCTGAGAAAATGTATTCGCTAGATAGGTCCAACAGATAAGTACCAGCACCACAAGATACATCTAAGACTGTGGCACCATTACTTAAGACCTTTTCGATCGGAGAGGAAAAATTTGAAGTCCAAACTAATTTCGTGGTGAAATGATATTGATGCAAAAAATCGATATCTTTACTTGTACTTGGAAACTTTGTTGACGTTTCATTAAGTAATGAGTTAATTGTAATTTTATCAATTTTATCAATTTTATCTTTTTCTTTGATATGTGAATAATTTTGTTTTTGAAGTAATTTTATTTTTGATCCAACTGTTCCTCCCATGTTATCATATAATAAGAAACGCGACGATATGGAATACGTTTCCAAATTACGAATTAGGAAAAAAAAAAAAAGCCTTTTTTATTTTTTAAAAAAAGGCAACTAATTAAAATTATTTTTATTTTATTTTATTTAATTTATTTTATTATTTTATTATATTTTTTTTTTAATCATTTAATTATTTTAATCAAAAAAAATGGTGTTATCAATAGTTACATTTTATTTGTTTTTATTTTGTGTTCCGTTCCTTTATTTCCTTTATTTATATTAAATATGCTTTAAATAATTCACAAGATTTTTTACATTAGGACGAGAATCCGAATCAACTTAAGTTATTTTTCAAATAAGGCAAAAGTTTTTAGAGTTTAATTGGGATTTTCGGATAAATTTTTTTTTCAAATAAAATCCTTTTTAATAAATTAAGCAAGGAGTGGGAATTCGATAATTTGATGAAATGAAAAAAAAAATGAAATCATAGGGGAGACAAGGGAGGGATATTTCTTATTTCACAATAAAAATGTGAAAAAAAAAGGAGAGCGATCATGAAGATTGAACAGTGATAGGGTTGTTTCCTGCATGCAAAGTCTAATCTTTCAAAAGCCCTTACAGATTGACAATATTTACATGCGTAGTCAATCTACATTTATGTCGAAATTGAAAAACTGATGGTTAATGTTTTTTACCAATTAAATCTTACACCCTATCAAAAGATTCTCAACTTTCGGCAGTTTCTAGGTCTTTCCCGAAACGATAAAACAAATTTTGACTTACGCCGACATATGCAGTTCATGAGAAGTTATACATGATACGTTGATATGAGAAAATAGTTATAATAAATGTGTTTCGTCTTTTGAAATAAATACTTAATAAATGATAAGAGTGTGATTTTATCTCTTTAATAACTATCTCTATTGATAATGATAACACGATGTGGAAACTGTAGCCTCATAAATAATTTATGTAAAAATTGACAAATTATTATTATTAATATAAAAATTTTCATTTGCTAAGTACGAATGCATCCACCTTACTTGTTTAGGAGTTTCAATAGTAATTCAAAAATATTGTATCTATCTTTATTCATTGTAAGTTTATTTTTGACAGATTATTCATGAATAACACAAAAAGTATTGGTAAACTGCCCACACCCCCCAAAAAAAAAAAAAAGAACCACTGTTGCAAGTGCCATGATTTACCATCTTTGTTTATATCCGTTTGTTTATTGTTCATTGTATTATCATTTAGAAAAATTCATGAGTAATCCGTAATACCAATAATATATGGGTTCAAAAAAAAAAAAAATCTTTTACTTGGTTTTTATTCAATCAATTATTCTTTTGTTAAGGAAATAATAATTACTACTTTTGAAATTTGAATAAATGAAAGCAGTTCTGACTGAATCGATTCTATTAAAAAAAATTTTAACATTCATCATACAATAAAAAACACAATAAAATTTCACTTTTTTTTTTAAAAAAAAATTTATGCATGGCATATATCGTGGTTGAGAATTATTTGATGTACATTTTTAAGTTCTTGTTTTTGTCAAACGTTGAATTGTTATTGTTTGTCTAGGTTCACAAAAGGTTGTGTAACGAATGAATTAATTATAGATTTGGTGCACGTGATCGTTTAATGCTTACCACAGATTTGAATTCAAGCGTAGAATTATCTTGAAATTTTTATTTTTATTTAATTATTAAGGCAATAGTAGCCAATTTCCTTGCGCTGACTTTCCTTTTTATATAAACTCAAATAAATATTCTTAGTGAATAGTTCCTGGAATTGTTTACATTAAAAAATGGTGGCTCTTTTCTATCATATCTTTTCCTCTTTGAATTGAAAGAAATAAAAGCTTATATTTTTGCGATACATGCATATATAATGCCAATTTAATAATTTTCATTATATAATTTCCTATTTTGAATTACCGATATTACAAACCTTTCGGAAGTTACATATTAGGATATAATCATATATTATAAAAATACGTTTTAATTTCGGTTTTCAAATTCTCGTAATCTACGCAATCTACGCTTCATAGAATTTTGCATTTAACGTGATTCTTCGGATTTGGTGGCTATGATTAAAATCGTGTACCGTTCATCGCTTCGACATACTTAATCAAATGGAACTTTTGCGAAATGTTTATTGCCTATCGATACAGTATGCAATGCAACATATATATTTCTCGTAAAAAATTCTGTTTTTTCCTGAAATAATTTAGAATTATACATTGCATAAACGAATTAACAACCTTTGGTTGACGGTACACACAATTTTACCAAATTGCCAAATGTTGTTTTGTCATTCCTTCTACCAGAAATTTTGCATCAAAGTCCAATGGACTTCTTGCCATTTGTTTGGTGATGTAACGCACTTCAAGTTCATCAATTGTAAAATGATTAGTAAATTATGAATGGTCGAACCTGAAAAAATTTAAAACTTTATTTAAAAATACTTTGAATATGTATATTAAAGTAAGGTTAATAATATATTATAAAAAAAAATATATTTTTTAAATGCCACGAGTAAAATTCAAAATCAATCGCGACTGGGTGTGTAAGAAACTTCCAGGGTTTTGTAGGTCAAGAACCTCTCACACACACCTGGTATATGTATAATGCATAATCATTAATCAATTTCAAATCATAAAGTATCATTAATATCGATTGATATTTACATTTCCATGCAACTCAGATTGTTGAATTTAAATTGATGCATCATCGTTATTATCTTTATTAAATGATATTATTATTATTAATTTCGTTGTAAATAATGATACACTTTCTGATAATAAATCACGTCATTATTTAAAAATATACTTGATCTTTTGGGCCTAAAAAAAATTTAAATAGATTCGAATAGAAAATAACTCAAGCATGGCATGACTTTAATGCTTCATTGTTATTCACCCTGGTTACACGAATCAGTAGAGTAACCGAAAGAAAAAATAGAGGCTGAAATCATTGAAGTAGTAACCCCCTTGTGCTTTTTTTTTTGCAAGAAAAATTGAAATACAAATTTCGATAACTATATACGATATAAATAAAATATTAATGATTTTAAAAATATTAATGATCAACCCAATATATATACTATTGAGATAACTATAGCTTCAAACTAGGTAATTCCCCATTAAGTTCGATGAGTGACCTGGTAAAATATGTGGTCTTCACCCATAATTATTAAACATAAATTAAAAAACATCTTTTAAATCAAGACATTATTCGAGGTTCCTAATATTTCTTGCAGCATTGGACATTCCCTAATCCAAACATTCGTCAAAGCTTTTAAAACGTGGATATTTGATTTACTTCGGGAGCATAATTTATAAGCTGTTTTATAGGACTTTGTGGATGTCCTTGAGAAAAAATAATTATAAAAAACTATTTTTTTATTCCCAATAATTTTTCGTCATATTTGACTTATTAAGATCGTTTGCTAACATGATTGTCGTGCCATATTATAATATTGTTTTGTAATAATTTGTACTCCTTTTTTCACATGTAGATCGTCAATTACAGTTTTCAAGTTCACATACAAAATTGAATTTAACAAAATATCATAACAGATTCCATCAATTATTCTCTCATGAACAGAATATAATGCATACAATATTTCAATAAATGTATTTGAAGTAAAAAAAATACCCAATTGATAAATAAGATTTACATACATCTCAGATTGAATTGGTTATTGACTGCAGTATTTTATGAATGATTGATTAAAACTCGTCGTATAAATGAAATAAATGATGTAAAATAAGATGATGAAAAATTTTCTCCTTAAAAGTAATTTTTTGTAACAATCAAGGCAGGAAAAATAATATTTACATATCAGATATGTTTTAAATACCTTTTTAAGTGTACGAGAACGAAATGTTATTAGTAATCGTTGCAATTGTACAAAGGACATTTTTTGCTTGATAGTCCATTTTACCACACAACTTGCTAGTGTTGGTAAATGACCTTGAAATGACCTTAAATGACCTCATTTTTATTATAAATTTCAAGTCTAAATGACCAAAGGTCATTTTAAAAAATAGTAAATGAACTTATAATTTGCCATCACTGCAACGTGCAACCATTGAAAAGGTATTCTTTTTCATAAGATTGACATTTCCTGCACTATTCTTTCTATTATTTCTTTAAGTTGTTTAGAAGATTCAAAGTTCATAATTCTATAGCAAACATAGGTTAGCTTTAACAAAAAGTTAAATTCGTATTGGAAAAAGAATGATGAATTTTTTTTAAAACAAATTTTATGAGAGAATTTAATGATGATATATCTAACAGCGATAAGATTATATTACGAAAAAGTTGGCTGAATTATGAAATCGTCAGATTGTAATTTGTCTATAACATGTATGACTTTCGAATTTTTTTTTATAATGAAATTTGGTTAAAACAAGAGGTTTCTAATTTATTATTGTATGCTAGTACATGATATAAAATGGGATAAATTCTTCTAGACAACGTTATAGAATCAGTAGAACCATTAGAAGGAAATTATGTGTGAAGGTTACGATATAGATTTAATATTATTTGATCAAGTTATATTTTTAAGAATACAAACCTTTGTTTAATCTGATCTACACTTTCTTCACACTTCGTTGAAGAGAATCATATTTGATTTCTAAAGGTGAATGGAAGTTGGGCATCGAAATTTCAATAACCAGTAAAATCGGTTCAGATATTATGTTTTCATTTTTGGAAATCTGCTGTACTAGGAAAATCTTGTTCATACCACACACCATATTACTTATAAAGGAAATTGTCCTCATTTTTTTTCTCTATATATTTGTTCTTTTTTCAATTTATTCTCTTTAATAATGGCGGTTTCAAAATTACCTAACGAATGTTTACAAATAATTTTTAATGACATTGATGATCTAAAAACATTACACTCCGTTATCCTCGTTAATCGTAATTGGTGTCAAAATTGCATTAAACGACTATGGAAAAAACCGTTTAGAACTAGCACTGATCAGGATAAACAAATCAAAATTTGCCCTATTTTAATTCAATTCATCATATTCGATGAAGAATTAAAAGTTAAAGAAAAGTTGATAAATGGTTATTATAAAAAATATAAAAAAGCAAATCCCAACCCTTCTCAATGTTCATTTGACTATCCAAGCTTTATCACCGACATTGATTTAGATCGTATTATCCAGGTTGTTTCATTATTTGTGCAATTGAATAAAAATAAACTTTATCTTATTCCAGGACATAAGAAAAGTAAGTAAAAAAAATTAAAGAAAAATACGCGTTTACTTCATTCTTTATTTCTAATAAATTCATTTATTGTTAATTTTTTTAGTTCCGAAAATTGATCAAATTTTAACCTTTGTATTGATCATGTTAAGAGTTATGGTATTAAGAGGAGCAAATATTAAACGTTTTATAATTAGTCAGAATGAAAATTATATCTGTATGATTCTAACTAATGAATTTGCTCTTGAACAATGGAACGAAGCAAAAGTCAAAATCGAAAACATTCTTTCTATCTTCCTGACGATGGATGCAACAAAAAGATGTCTTAAAAACTTGAAAAATTTTATGTGTGATATGTGTGATATGTTAATAGAAAACTCAATGATCTTATCGAGTTTAATTTCTATATGTACTAAATTACAGGAAATTAGGATTCAAAATTATTCTCATAGTTTAACTAATGATTCCTTGATATCCTTAATACAACGTCAAAAAAGTTTGGAATTCTTGCATATTCAAGGTTCATTATATCATTCAAATTCAAATATCACACAATTGGTTTTATCATTGGAAAAAAATGCTAGTTCATATAAGAAAATTATACTTGAAGGTGGATACGTTGATAATGACTGTGCATTTAAATCTTTGATGAATTGCAAGGATCTCGAGGTTTTACAAATCAAAGATGTAAAAATCTCTTACAAAAATTTGGAAATATTGGATTTTGCGGAATTTCCGAAACTAAAATGTTTGAGCTTTATTAATACGGAACTTGAGAATATGGGTCCTAGCTTAGCAAATCCGTTTATTGCAATTATTAAAAATGAAAAGATCACATCAAGACTACAAAAACTTCATTTAATAGGATTTCTAGAAGTGGAAAATTATAATCTGTTGAAAACTTTGGCAGAAAATTTTAAAAATTTGAACGACTTGAACGACTTGTGTGTTCAAATTACGAGAAAGGAAGAAATACCGCTTTTAATTTTAATTTTGGAAAATTGTTTGATGATTAAACAAATCAGATTGGTGAATCCTATTTCAACTTATAACTTTAACGCGTTCAAGATCTTTATTAGAGAATGGTCTGCAGAACAAGAAAAAACGATGTTAAGAATTGAGGATCAGGGAGCTCATATTTATGTTGAATGGGAATAATCTTGTGAAGGAAGGAAAATATAGATTTAGTTAGTATAGAATATAGAATTGATTACAATATAAATAATGTGATTACATAATCAAGAAATAAACGTTGGTTAATTTTCGGATCAGATTATTGATTTCTCGTCATCTTTTCAATTATCCATAAATGAATATACTTAAAAATTTTTCAATTAATTAAGGTTATTAACTATTTATTAACTTATATAACTTATAGGTTAGAATTAAGGTTTAATTAGATGAATTAATAAAATTTTATTAATGAAAAATATTATTTTCAATTTTGATAACAATTAAACTTATTTAATTTATTAAACATTATTTTTTTTTACTATAAATATAAAGTTTTAATTAAATATCCCTTTGATAGTTTTGCAATTAAATTTGCCTGCAGATTTACTTGTAATTAAAATCAATTTAAAGAAGTTTTTAAATTTTTTTGATAAATTATTTAAATGAATTTGAATAAGCATTAATATAATTAATAAATATTTTTAATAATTAATAAAAATATAATTATCACTTTACTAATAATGCTACCTAAAATACTGAAACTTAGTAAAACTAAAATCAAGTTATATAAGAGGTTTGCTAGGCTTTGAGCATTTTACTAATATATAATAAACTTTTTAAATGTATTTTCTCTAAATATATAATAATTTATAAATTATATTCTTTATATACTGTATATAAATTATATAGTTATAAGTATATAAAATCATATAAAATTTCTCTTTTTAAATAAAAGACTTTTTTAAATACATATTTTTTTTAATTTTTTATTATAATCCTAAAAAATATACATTTAAATAAGTTTAACTATAATAGGATAATTATATAATAAAAGGATTAAAAATCAAATAAAGGGTTTAAAATATAAAAACTTAAAAGTGATTAGATAATATTAAAATTACAAATTATATATGAGTTTGATATTTTTTAAATAATAATTTATTTTTACCTATAGTTAAGGTTGCTTGGCTAAATTATTTTAGAAAATGCAAAATGATAAAATCTTAATTAATGCAATTTAAACTATTATAAAATTCAAAACTATTGCGAAATGTTAAAACCTTTGCGAAATGTTAAAATCTTTACGAAATGTTAAAACTATTGCAAAATGTTAAAACTGTTGCAAAATATTTAAACTATTGCAAAACATTAAAATTATTGCAAAATTTTCAAATTATTACAAAATATTTAAACTATTGCAAACCATTTAAACTATTGTAAAACATTAAAACTATTATTTAAAAGTTTAAACTATTGTAAAATATTAAAATTAAAATTATTGTATTATATTAAATAAGATATATTTCTAGTATTTATTTGTTTAATAATTTATTTTATATAAAAATAACATATACATATATGTATATGAATATTTCATGCATTATGCAATTTGTTATATAACTAATTAGGCATTTAAGCTAATAAGTTTTCATAATAGAATACTAAATCTTTATATAAAAATATAAGATATATTTTTACAAATACTTTAAACAATAATTAAAAGAAATATTTTTTTATTTAAATAATTAAAAAGCAATTTATTTGATATATAATAATAAAAAAGAAACAATTATAAATATAAAATGAAAAATAATAATAAAAATAATAATAAAATAACAATAAAATCTTAATTTCTATAATTTCTGCTTCTTTTTCTATTGCTCTTACAGTTTTTTCAGTTAAAGTAATGACGCTAATATATTGAATATCATCTTCACTTAAATTAAGTTTAGTTATATCATGTATAACTTGTATTTACCAATACTATATTAAATTTGATGTCATCTTAATAGCAAAACTATATTCTGAATAAATAAAATATTCTTCTTTAACTATACCAATCTTAAAAACAAACCCCACTGCAAACTCTAATTGATTATTATCCCGATATCCTGTAGCTTCATAATTTTCTGCACAAATACTACACCTATTAATTTATTATCACTTAAATTTACTTTTTATTTAAATGATTCATGAGATAACTTAGATCATGATAAATGTTATTTGGCATTTTCATATAACTATTTTCCAAAATTATCACCATTTTGATCTAATATTCTTTGTGTTTCTAGATCAAGATTTTTTTATATACATATGAACTAGTTGAAGATAGATCTAAAAAATATCATATCCAACTAATTTTCCTGAATCAGCATGGGTTTTTATTCACAATTTATTTTAGGATAAGTATTAACTGTGTTTTTTATTTTATATTCAAAATAATTTATAAAATTTTTTTTTGCTATATTACGGATAACTTCTTCAATAATTTTATTAGCATATTTAAAATAACTGATTGATTTTAATCAATAATTATTAGATTCTTATCATTTTCTATATTTATATAAGTAACAAATTTGTGAAGATATTTTTCGGCAAGATGTAAGTTATGATTTATATTAAAATCACTTATTTTTTTAATAACTCTATTAAAATCTTTAGAAAAAACTTTAATTTAACTTTTTTAACTTAAAAATAAATCCTAACAGAAGTCTTTATTTTTATTATATAATCAGTAAATATATTTACTGGATTCTATTAAAATTAATTATAAATAAAATAAAAAAGCAATTGATTAAAATAAATAATTAATTAATTAATATAAATTAAATTTAAAGTTCATAAATCCTATTAAACCTAAGTTAGAATACACTAAAATAGCATATGTAAAAGGAAAATATATGACTCTAAAGCTATATAAATATAAAATTAATTATAAATTGTATGATATATGATTAATTTTAATCTAAATGATCTATATTTTCTGAAGTATACAGTCACATCTCAATATAATGAAGTTGGTGTCCAGGCTGATCAGCTATTCGTTATAAGAAAATTTGGTTATTATTATAATGAATTATTCAGTATAATAAATGATTACTAAAAAGGAAAATACAAATATAATTTTATATGATATAATTAAAGTTATTTTTATAATGTCATTTTATAAAATAACCTCTCTGTAGTTAAAGTTAAAGTGATCTTGAAGCAATTTTGGTAATGCAAAAATTGGAATTAATCTTAAATAAAATAATTTATAATGATAAATATAAATTTATTTTTAAAAGTTTTTGAGATCTCTTCATTAAACAAAAGAAAAAAATAAGAAAATTTATTAATGATAGTTTAAAATATAATTAATTAATATTATTTATTTATACGAAAAATAAAAACAAAAAATAAAAAATTAAAAAAAAAATAATAAAAAAAAACAATAAAAAATAAATACCACAAAATAAAAACCCACTTCCAGTAAAAAAAAGAAATTAAAAAAAATAAAACTCCCGTGATAAAACCTCAATAAAAAATAAAAAAATTAAAAAAAAACAAAAAAAAATTAAACTTCTTACTCTTCATATACAACTACTGGTTTGCCATCAGCATATTATGGGTTCTTCTTCGATGATGTCTCATAACTAAAAAATGTAAAAAATACTTAATATAAATCTAAAAATTCCTAAAATTTTTATTAAGAACTATCAATTAAATATAATAATTACCTGATTTATCCCAAAACCTAGTTCAGAATAGATCATAAAATTGTTTCTCATTATATGATCACCTTTCCCTCTTCTCACACTGTTATACCAATCACAAGAGTTCTAAAAGATATATATTAATTACTTATTAAGTTATATTTATCAACATATTATTATTTATTTATTTACTTACCCCATAATTCCTCACTAGATTTCTTCACTTCTGTTCGCATTGGTGAGAATAGAGGTGCAATCTGGATGAATCCGATCTATCTGATGAACCATCTAATCAAAAATCAGATCATCTGAATAAAAAAAATTAATCCTTAGATATCTGCAGTTGATCTGTGGGTTGATTAGATTGACCAAATATCTATTTTATTATACTTTTATGAATGCCGAACTTACAAACTGGAACATTGCAGGAAAAGATAAGTTATAATAGATTGGTTAATTTAAAAAAATTAATATTAATACTTACTTCTTACTTTTGTAAAACAGTTTAGAACCTTAAAAGTTTTGGAAATTTATTTTCGAGGGTAAGTAAAATTTTAGTTAAAAATTATTTTTATTTTCATACATCAGCTTACATTTGTAGAACAGTTCAAAATCTTGAAACTTTAGGTCGAGGCTATAGATTAGAACCCTTCTGACCTTCAGATAGATAGGGTAAGCTCTCATCCTAGAAGTGAAGGCATTAATGCTTCCTGTAAAGTATGAAAGCAACTTTGAAATCCAAACATCTAGACGGCTCTGACAAGAAAAGTAATTATATTATTTGATTTATTAGTATAAAAGTTATTTTTGCTAATTTAATTAATTATATTTTTATTAAAGTGACGAGAAACAAATATCAACATCAGAAAATGAGATACTATTATATCTAAAACCTTTTATATCTCAAAATAATCCATCATCTTTAATAGAAATCATTAATAAAAGATTTTATCATATCTTGCTCTGATCACCACTTCAAGAAATTAATTAATTACAGTATAAATCTTTATTTTCTTTGCCTTCTGCATTAATATTTCGCATCTGAATTTCTTGTGAAGTATTATTAATCAAATAATACAATTGACGGTTTTCAAATTCTATTATATCATGTATTATAGATTTCCTTTTGATTTTGTCACCTATAGTTAGTGATGTACAGTGAGGTATCAAAAGTCACCAGGCACATGTGATATTGATCATTTTTTATAAATTATACCAAATTTTTAAATTGCAATTACTTACGAACTATCGCATCAATTTTTACAATTTTTTTTTAAATTACTCATATAAATATATTTTTTATAATTTTATTATTAGTATTTTGTAGGATTGCTTTTATTGTCAATAATAGCAGAAATACAGAGTGGCATACTATCAATAAGATTTTTATATATTTTTTCATTAAGATTTAACCATTCCTCCTGCAAAATCTGCCATAAATCATCTTGATTTTTGGTAATGGTTTATGTTTTCTGACCTTTCTATCCCATAAATTTTCTATGGGATTTAAATCTGAACTCTGCAGGCTATGGTAAACTTATAATATTATTTTCCATTTGCCATTTTTTTACTACTTTTGCAGCATGAATAAAAGCATTATCTTCTTGAAAAATGTATTTATTTTTATTTTCTAAACCATCTATAAATGGTATTAAATAGTTTTTTAATATCTTTATATATAATCACTGTAATTCTGCCTTCTAATTTGACCAATGGACCTAGTTTATTTTTTGTAAAACAACCCCAAACCATTACACTTTGTTGACCTGATTTAAATGTAGGAATAAGACATTTTAGATCATATTTTTCTTGAGCATTCCTCTAAACATATCTCTTTTCATCTCCTTTAAATACCTCAAACCTAGATTCATTACTCCAGATAACATAATCCAATTCATTTTTTCAATCTTTTCTTTTTTTAGCCCAAGTTAATCTTTTCATTTTATTAGCTGCATTTACAAAGGATTTTTTTGCTTCAATCCTTGCATAAGCTCCATTTTTATGAAGATATCTTTTAAGAGAAATTTGGCTTATATTTGTTAAAGTAGAGGTAACAAAATTTTCACATAATTCAGCAATATTTGTTCTATGATCTTTATTAAGAATTTGCATTAAATAACGATCATCTCTATCAGTTAAAATAGGTGGTCTACCACTTTGAGGAGGGAGTGTTTCAAATCCATCATTTTTATATACAAAAATAACATTATGAACTGTACTTTTAGCATAATTTAATACTTTATTTATTTTTCTTTCACTAAAACCACACTTCCAAGTACCTATAATTTCACCATGTTGAAATTCAAAGAGTTTTTTACGTTGAGTAGTCATTTTTTTAATAAAACCCATTTTTTGGGGAAAATGTTCATTGATAAATAAAATACAGAATGTTGTGTAACAAATATAAAAATTTTTATTCAAATCAATAAGTAGATTATAGAAAAAACTTGATTTGAAATTTTAGATTTGAAATTGAAAAATGATTGATATTACGCATAGATATTTACTCATTAAACTAAGACGATCTCAACAAATATAAAAGTAATTAATATAAATTTTTTTTTAAAAAATATATTTTTTAATACGATTAACAAGTTTACTTAATAAATTAACATAAAATTTAGTTTAAAAATTCAATGTTTTATAATAGCTAAAAATTTGTATTAAAAACACTAAAATATTGCATAAAATATGCAATATAAATTTTATTACTCATTAGATATCTATAAAAATTTTATGATATATGTAATTCGTTACGATGTACAATTTTAATTATTTTACTAAAATCGATTAAATTAATAAAAAAAAAAGTTTAATTTGAAGTAAATATTTCTGTCGATTTCTTAATTTTTAAGTGTCCGGTGACTTTTGATACCCTACTGTACCTTTGATACTGCAGGAGATAGTCTAACTGTTAGTAAAATATTTTTCTAAATTAATGTTTAAAAATTATGGAAAGCTTTTTCTCCTGAAGATCTTTGATCGAAGGAGGGGATATGCATCATGCTTTACAATACTACATATAGATCGTGACAGGTATTATGAAGTGGAAATTTTATGATCACACTTCCTTTGATCTGGTGATCTGCGGAAGATAGCCTATCTCTTTTTTTTTTCTCATTAGGTTTAAAAAAAGATTAGTCTTATTGGATCCCAAAAAAAATCTATTTTTGAGAAAGGGATCATGCTTTACAATACTTCATATAAAAAAATTGCTAAACTTTGAAAAGAGGACATTGTTGTTCTGATCTTAAAATTCAGGTATCACATGGCGTGATATCAGGTGATAAATGTGAAAGATTCCGACTAATAGAAGTGTGATCTACAAGAAATACCTTATTTTTTTTGATGGTAGAGTCTGGACAGTGTGGCTTGTAAAAGAATGGATTATTTACATACATTCAAAATAAAAAAAATTCACATGTGTGTGAACAATTGCTCACGCCTGCAAAGAAAAATTTTTTATATTAATACATATGAGACTTTCCATGATATATGCAAAGCTATTTAAATGTCAAGAAGTCAGAATTGTACATAAGTTTTAATACATATATACTATTTATCTTTAATTTCATTAGTCATGTCCTTTGTATATGCATTATATGATGTTGTGAATATCTTAATCATAGTATTGATTTCAGGAGGTGTGTGGTATCCATCATCATCATCAAGAAAGGTTTCGATATTTATAAATTTTCTCTTATTAAATACATCTAATGTTGAAGAGATAACAGACTTTGCATATAAAATTTCCTTCAGTACCAAGGCAAGTAGTTTTGAGTTTGTTAAACGACCGGCAATCTCTTGAACCTTATTATGATTAATTCACGTGACATATCCTTTAGGGTGATCTACAGTTATGACTTGTATCCTATTTGCACTTTGAAGGATTCCTATTACTTTTAGTTGTTCTACAATATTTTTTTTCATTTCACATTCTACAAATGACTTGTCAAGCATGCCCTTTAGCATCTTGCATAATTTTAATGAGTCTGTCATGTATTTCGTTTCCTTTACTCATAGTTAGCTTCTATTGTGTCAAACTCTCAATGATCCTTGTATAACTTAAATACACCATCACCTTTTCTACCAATTTTTTTACGGTCATGTATTTTTCTTTGAATGTTCTTTCTTTTGCTGAAGACTATGCTCATCCCTTCCTCACGAATTACGTCAATTAAATTACAAAAAGCTCGATCTATAAGTCAGCTCTATACGTTCATTTGGAACCATCCTTCTAGCTTTGAAACATTAAAGGGTCTTCATCCATTTCCCATATATATAAAATTCTACGATAAGCACTGTTGATATAATCTAAATCGAAATGAACGTTCCGATCATATTCTTTGCCGTCAGATGTAAATGATTCGAAAAGAAGTGATATTAATTTTTTCATATTATCGACAGTATATTTTTTTAATAACTCTCTATGATAAGGATCAAGCTTTGGTCTATCAATCACTTCAAAATTTTTGATTTCTTCCCATTCTTCACGTGAAAATAATGATTTAGTGTCAACATCAGCATCATTGATTATATTGTAATGAAGATATGATTCTTTATGTAGACTTTTAGCGAATTCGTAAATGACCATTTCCACTTTACAGTCACTTTCGAGTGTTCATATACAATTGGGATCTATTGCAAGGTACAATTCTTCGAACTTCTCAAGGTCAGGTTTAGTTTGGTTAATGGTCTTTTTAATATGAGATGATTTTCTATTTGGCTGTTGTAAAAAAAAGTTAATAATTAAGTTTCAAAGTAACTGAAACATGCTGGTTTTAGCTACCTTCCATTCATAATCAAAGTAATCTGAGTAATCTGAATCCATCTCCGTTTCTTCAGTATAACAAACCTTCTTTCTCTTTCTAAGATCCTTTCTAGAAGATTTTCCTTTCTAAGTGAAATCAAAGACATAGTGTAAGAGTAATGTATGTAATAAGTCATGCGCTAGTTCTTAATCTTATCTCATCTTCATTAAACCCTTGATCGCATAATCTTTGCGTATTATACTCTCCAGCATCATTTAGAAGGTCAAGACTACCAGAGATATGTGTACGCTTTACTGACAGCTGTTTTGTATGATTACAAAATTAAAAATAATAAAATATAGATAACAAGAAATCGGCTTAACTAACCTCCTTCTGTTCATCTTTTTCCAGTAATCCTTCATATTTTGTTCAAATTTAACCAATTGTATAGTTAAGCACAATCACATGATTTTTCACGTTAATAATTATTTATTCAATACTTGCATCAAAATGAGTACAAGCTTTAACAATATAAAAAACGGGAGTCACAATTAGTGGGAATTGGGCTCCAAATGCAAGTAGAGACATGCCATGAGATTCCCTAGCATCACTTGGGACATAGAGAGCGCTGAAAACCTCCGGATTTAAGTAGAGACTAAAGATGGAACTGTAATTAATATGTTGCAACTTTTAATGTTGCAACTTACGTTGCAATTAGTTTTAACCTATATATGTTGCAACTAATTTTAGCTTATGTTGCAACATTTTGTAAATTTGAAATCAATTGCTGTACCATCTTTAGTAGAGACGTATCAAAAAGCCCCTACCACCAACTATAAAAAAAATAAAATACCTTTTCCTTTAGCGTATTGGCTGACGCAGGATCCAGTTCATGTGTTTCTTCAAGAAATTACCTATACCAGGTACTATTGAGGGAAGTCCATTTAACATTAAATGGAGGTAACTTGATAATTGTGTCGCAGTTTAGATTTAAAAATTCAAACGTAAGATTATTTGTCAGGGTTACGTTCTTCTAAATATTATGTTAAAACTATTGAAAATAAAACGTAATCAGTACTTAAGATAAAAGGAAGCTTTTTCCATTTATACATTATTATTACGCTTGCTTATATGACTGGGATATAAAACTTTCATTTTGAAAGGTAGTTGTGAAAAAAATACAAAAGCCCAATATATGTAAGAAATTCTCCTATTGCACAGACTGCCATGTAACATCATTACGTATCACCTATCTTCAGGTCTTTAGGCTTTGAACTTGCTTTCTGGACTGTTGATCTCTACTCCAGACTAAGGCTTTCTACTATTTAACGCAAGTACTTGTAACCCATCTATAAGAACTTTTAACATATTTTTAGGTGATAATCCTACCCTCTCAAAAATAAAGATATTAATTCCGGCAGAAGTTATTCTAGTAAATTAATTATATGCATTTTTTATATAGTTAGAAGATATTTCAATCGGAAAAATAAGATTAATGTGCAGAACTTTATATGCTCACTGTGGGGATGTTAAACAGCCTTAAACAGTCCTAAAAGTCTCAATAAATTTGCCAGTTCTAGATTAGATTTTTATTTTACTGGCATTATATTTTAGTTTCTAATGATAATTTATTAATTGAATATAAATTAAAATATATATTAAACTTATGCGGGAACCCAGAATCTTAATTTTTGAAACTTAGGATACTTAGGATCCGATCCTAAGGACTGGATCTCACCTTGGCAGTCTCATGTTAATTGTCGATTCCAAAGTCCATATTTCTTTTATAAGTTATTCATAAAATTTATTATTACAATTATTTATCAAGGGTTACTTATTATAGATAAGCAATTAGACTTTTTTATAACTCATAATTTCAATATTTGTTTACAGTCATTTGGGATCATTTAACATCCCTAGCTCACTGCGTCTTCACACACTTTACTTTGCAAATCTTCTTTTCTGGTGATGCATAATCTGAATCAGATGAATCTGTTCTTTACCAGACTCTATACTAGTTTGTTCTTCTATATAATTTCCTATCCAGTCAACAATTCTTTCTAGCTTTTTAACCTTCTTCTTTAGCTCAGATGAATAGAAGGAATCCTTACATTTTTTGATATTTGATAAGGGAACTATTTCTTGTATTAAGTCAACCATAGTCTCCCTATTTATACATTCATCCAGATCTTCTAATTCAATTTTTAAGGATCTCACATCTCTTTTTAATCTTTTTACCTTTCTTTCTAAAATATTATTTTGGAAATGATGATCTTCTTATTGTTTCTTTAGTGTCCTATTTTCACTGAAAAGCACACTATATACATCTATATTTTGATTATCTAGTTCAAATATCTGAGCTAATTTTTCTGTGTATTTGATAACTTCTTGTTCACTAGATGTACTATTAGATGAATTTTTTATTTGGTTACTATTTTCATGATATTTTATATACGATATATCTTACCTTAAGTGAAAATAAATAAATTAACAAAATGAATACCCTGATTCTCTAATTTATCTACTGTATGTGATTAGTTTTCATCGAAGAACTTGAATGCTTTTGCCTAGTCATAAAATTACCTTTCGATGAAAATTGATTGTAATATAGTTTTGTGCTAAAGAGGTATAGTTGTCTGGTGAATATCGAAGGGCTTGACTGGCAATGGTCATAGCCTCTGATAAATTCTTCGCACTATTCAATATGACTGCAAATACTGCTTTTAATTTGCGCAAATAGCTAGGGAGAAGTAGTTTATCAGTTTTGGAAAGAAATTCATCTTTTTTTTAGAAACGTATTAAACCATTTAACTCCTAGTATTCCTAGATCCCCTAACTGTCTAGAAGAAATTGCAACCTAAATCTAAGTAAGAAAAGTTTAGCCCGCTCTTCATCTCTTTCTAATGATCTAAATACTCAAGGATAATCCTATTAGCCTTAGTTATTTGCATATTCAGTTACACTTCTATTAGATATATGCAAGTCTTTAATTTCAGCGGGACAGATGTAAAGCATAATCATTATATTAGCTAGGGCCTATTTGTCAGATATATTAGACATATCATACAAATCTAACCTTTCTTTAACAGATTCTAATGAAAAGTGATCTGAAAAATCAATTCCTTTATTTTCATGTTGACCCCTACGCTCTTTTTGAATTTTGTTAGATGAGCAGGTTGTATCAGAGACAAATGTAATAGAGATTATTTTTTGGGAGTATTAAGTTTTCGCAACTCTCTTCAAAGCCTACTAAGACGAGATGTGATAGCGATAGAATTAGAAATAGTTAAAGCCTTGACTATCGCCTTTACTTCTTTTTCACTAAAATTATCTCAGACAATATGCTGGGCTATATTTTTAATAATTTCTTTATCTAGGATGATGTCAGATACTTGGTATATATTAACTTCTCCTGCTTTATCCCTTTCTTCTTTGGGAGTTACTTGACTTCTACTTCGACAAATTCTCTGATTAGAAACTAATATAAATGCCTGCTTTTTGCTAAAATTATACCCTTTTTGAAAGCGCTGTTAACCCTTATCTCTTTTCACTTTATCTATTAAAAGCTCAAATAATGCTGAAGCGTGTTGGCTAAGTTTATCATTACCCATCTCTTTATTGAGTTTGTGGTTTGCAATGTACTTTGTTACAATCGTGAACATAATAATATGGATATGAAGTAATTATTAGATTATGCTTAATCGTTAGGTTATACTACGCATGAAAAAGTTCAATTCAAAAAAATATTCTGTCATTTCACTACCTCATAGTTGATAAAAGCTATCAGAGGTTAGAGAAATGGAAAAAATATATAACTTATGGTAAGGTCTCGTTGAGACTACCTGCTTGGCTGAACAGGAGGATAGATTTACTTCAATTTGAAAATTACAGATTGATAGGATAAGCGAAAAAAAATAGTCATAGAACTATCATTCCAAGGCTATATATACTAGTGATACCTGACTAAACTTTTTTTTGAAAAATTGTAATTTCATCAAAAGTTTCGTCTCTTTAATATTTTTATATGAATAAATAT